AGTTCAGTTGTAATAAATTCTTTAAAACCATGCCAGTTGGCAAAATTAACTTAATATGATCTGACATTCTTACTGTATCTGAGATGGTGACTGTGGTAGATTCCTTATGGGAGGTTCTTCAGCTGGTGACATGCTCTCTGACTCTTAATTAGCAGCATCTGAAATGGATATTTGAACACAAATATATTTCAGTTGTTATGATTAGATTGTCCAGTAATATTTCCTGTATCCCTGAAGTACTGGTCAGTATGCAGTAATTTTGAAAGTACATATTTCAGATTTTTTTAGCAGCATGTGCGTGTCCTGCATATACATGTACTTGAAATGTTACTTTGATTTCCAACCAATCTAATTTCACTGATACAGAATATTTGCAATTAAAATTCCCTTGCCATCATGACAAGAGTTTCTCCATATGTCCATATGCTTAATTTTTTTTAATATATTAGACCGTTCATAATTTATGACTAGGGGGGTGATGATGATTTTAGGTGCGGGGGTTGGGGTGTCTCCTAGTTTGTTTTGGGAGGCAGGGGGAGGGGCCAATTGTGTACATATGAACTAGGGGGCTGGTCACTGATTTTGAACATGACAATGTGTGTGGTGTGTGTGTGTGTGTGTGTGTGTGTGTTAATGTGTCTCTGTGTGTGTGTGTGTGTGTGTTAATGTGTCTCTGTGTGTGTGTGTGTGTGTGTGTGTGTGTGTGTGTGTGTGTGTGTGTTAATGTGTCTCTGTGTGTGTGTGTGTGACATTCACATTGTACATGTGCCCCTAATATTAAAACCATGCATAGTGAACAGTGTGTACATTTCCCGGCAGATCTATAATGTGCCATTTGCCTTAATTATTTTGTACTTACTATGAATCAGTTTCCAGGATCTCTCCGTATTTTCGTCAACCACTGCCTCCTTCTGATCTTATTCTTGGGAATATGGTGAAAAGATACCGTAAAATCCTTACGGGCATCACTCCAACGCAAAGGCACACAGCAGTAATCTTTCTTTTTCGAGGTCGCCATTTTCAAGGTTGGGTCAACCTATTTAAGCCTCGCTTTCAATTTGACCCCGAGGTCATGCATATTGGCTAAGAATGGTCTATATGTAGACTGTGTTCAGAACTTGGGTTGATACATGACTGGTTGGCCTTGTCTACGTTATGTAACCACTGACACAAGTAAACATGACACAGAAGGAGCTTATTTGAAGTTCTTTTACAAGATAGTTTGCTGTGGTTGCTTAACCTGGTTGGACAGGCAAAATGTCAACCAGACTGGTGTATCGTGTTCAAGAATACGGTGGCTTAAATACCTAACATACTCTTTGATATGAGATTTCATTAGCAGTCCCACGAACACATGCTGATGCTTGGCTGTTTGACTCTAAATTGGTGATTGTTTGTTTCTGACTATAGCAGTCCCATGAACACATGCTGATGCTTGGCTGTTTGACTCTAAATTGGTGATTGTTTGTTTCTGACTATAGCAGTCCCATGAACACATGCTGAAGCTTGGCTGTTTGACTCTAAACTGGTGATTTTTGTTTCTAACTACATAAAGATAAGTAACCTTGGGGTCCATTCCGCAAAGCTGTCATACAGTAAGGTGTTCATGATACCAGTACTTGTACATAGACTTGTTGCTGTCATACAGTAAGGTGTTCATGATACCAGTACTTGTACATAGACTTGTTGCTGTCATACAGTAAGGTGTTCATGATACCAGTACTTGTACATAGACTTGTTGCTGTCATACAGTAAGGTGTTCATGATACCAGTACTTTTACATAGACTTGTTGCTGTCATACAGTAAGGTGTTCATGATACCAGTACTTTTACATAGACTTGTTGCTGTCATATTGCTATGTTCACCTTATGGAACAGGTCCCTAGGGAAATCTTAGTTACGTAAAGGTCAAGGTCATGAGATACCAGGGCTCAATTTAAGGAAATGAAACCTACTTGCACCCAGTGCAGCCTTCGGCAATACCCTTGTTGCTCTGACAAAACAGGTTGCACCTGCTGTTCAAAATTAAATAATGTTCAATGCTGGAGGTGATTTTTGTCCCCCGCTGCAACGCGGAACGGGGGACTATGTATTCAGCGGCGTACGTACGTCCCGATTCTTGTTAACGCGATATTTCATGAACTGTTATACCCAATGTCTTCAAATTTGGTGACAGCCTACATTGGGGGATTACGCAGACACCAGTTGATTTTGGTGACCATGACCTTATCTTCAAGGTCACCACCACAATTTGCTCACTTTTAACTCTTGTTAACGCGATATTTCATGAACTGTTATACCCAATGTCTTCAAATTTGGTGACAGCCTACATTGAGGGATTATGCAGACACCAGTTGATTTTGGTGACCATGACCTTATCTTCAAGGTCACCACCACACTTTGCTCACTTTTAACTCTTGTTAACGCGATATCTCATGGACTGTTGTACCCAATGTCTTCAAATTTGGGGACAGCCTACATTGGGGGATTACGCAGAAACCAGTCGATTTGGGTGACCTTGGCCTTATTTTCAAGGTCACCACGACACTTTGACCACTTTTCAAACTCTTGTTAACGCAATATCTCATGGACTGTTGTACCCAGTGTCTTCAAATTTGGTGACGGCCTATATTGGGGGATTACACAGACACCAGTTGATTTGGGTGACCTTGACCTTATCTTCAAGGTCACCATGACACTTTGACCGCTTTTCAAACTTATTTAAGCGCGATATCTCATAAAACATTGCACCCAATGTTTTCAATTATGTTGACAGCCTACATTGGGTGATTATGCAGACACCAGTAATTTTAGGCATCTTTTATGTGACCAAAAATAAAAAGTAGTAAATATAGATATTCCATTCTTTAGCGGCGGGGGACATTGCCATATCAGTGGCAAACACTTGTTTTACATGGATTATTCTGGACATCATTATGATGTAATTATTCTGGTGTTACGAGAGTGTGTTTTTTGTACTTTGTAAAAACATTGGTTAGGTAATAATTATTATGAGTCACAATGTTTAAAGTTTTGAGTGTTGCTTGTGGGTCACATTTTGCATCATGTTTGTTCGGTAATGGTGCTGTTTTTAGCGGTACGCCTTTATGATAGCGCTCCAGAGTTACCTGCCCTTCAGAGTCTTTTGTTTATCTTGTTGACTTCCACCGTTTGAACTGGTTAATGATACAGCCATGCCTTGCTGGAAAGTTCGAGAGTCTGTGTCAGTATATATAAAGGCTGACTGTTGTGTGGTGCGACACAAGGACTGACACACGGACTAACACACGGAATTACACGGGACTTTCGATATCACTGGAGTTACCGTCGTCTTTCGTCACCATCGTTGTTTGCCTTCGTCAACGTCGTCTGACCCTGATACTTCTTGCCTGACTGCTCTCATCATAACCAAACTTCATTTAGAATATCTGATCTCCTTATAATTATCAAGGCTCGTGGTGAGTTGACATTTTATATTTGTGACTCAAAACTTTAGATTTGTGACTCAATTGCATTGTACTAGAAATCTGTATTTATTAAAAACCGTAACACTGGGTCTTATAAGATCATTGTATCTTACTATTCTTATTTCATGTTTCATAAAAATTCATGAATAGCCATCATTCAATCGCTGTCCATCTTGTTATTTTTGTCACTTCTGCAGGCTTGTTCCTCAGTATTCTGTTTTTCACCTGAAGTCAGTTTTCTTTCAGTAGCAAAATATTAACATCCAAGGATTAAAAAAAATGTCACAAAAAGGATTGTGATTACACTTTGTCAAAAGAAATTGATGCATTTACCTTTACTTTAGAAAGGTCAAGGTTGGCATTCAAGGTTTGGTACACTATGGTTGTCATGGTTACTTCCACAGGCATGAATCATTAGGGTTGCATACATCTGGACTAATCCTTCCATGTAAAATTTTTGAGTTTCATATGTCTTATGAAAGGTCATGGCCATTCTATAAGGTTGTTATAAAACCTGATTGTATCATCTGTTTTGTGTCAGTAATACTTGGATAAATGTTGGGTCTTGTATTTAACATGTTATGGTCAAGGTCAGGGAGTAATGTGTTTGGACTGGAAGTGTATTACATGAGAATATTTTGAGGAAAATGCACTGAACTGGTGGTGAACAGGCTGTTTCCGTTTGAGGGAGCAGTTTTAAAATCCTTCAGGTGTTTCATAGTTGTATGTACATGGTTAATAAGCAACCGTTCATAATTAATGGATTTTTTTTTTTTGGGTGGTTTTTTGGAGAAGAGAATGATGATTTTAAGGGGTCACCCATTTGTGCTGGCGATCTGGGGGTCACAAATTTTGTACACTGCATATGGGGGAGGGAAAAAATTTTGTACATAAAACTATGTTAAAAATTCTGCTAAGAAATTATGGGAAGGGGAGGGGGTCATTGATTTTGTACATGACATGCAGAGGGGTGACGCTTATTTGGTACACAAATTTTAGGGGGTCATTCACATTGTACATGCTTCTCCATAAAAATCATCGTTCTCTTCCCCCCCACCCCAGCCTAGCCATAAATTATGAACGGTCCCTAAGGCTGCTTGAAGTCAGTAATGTTTGTGTTGAATGATAATGTTCATTTTAGTCAGAAGCAAGTACCATTAGAAATTTTGAGTTATTACTCATGCTTGTGAATTTGAGACAGTTATAATGAATTACTTTCACTGATTGACTGATGTGATTGTTTTTACTCCCCATAATGTGGAACTGGTACAGGAAAACTGAGGTAAACTACCTTTCTGAAAACATAGGAAACTGGTCTGAAGAGATGTATTGTCATCAGGCATTTTGTCATTTCTTTGAATAAACATTCCATTCCTGTAGTCACACTTGTGAAAGTCAGTGTTGATAAAAGTACTTGTGTCCAACAACTCTGCCAAACTGAAGCATATCTTCGATTAGTGGCAAAGTCCTTTTGTGGCAAATATTTGGCCTGAAATGTGTGATAAACTACAGTACCTGTGTTTTCCAATGCAGGCAGCAGAGCTGAAGCTTCAAGGAAACAAAGCTTTGGAGCAGGGGAATACAGAGGAGGCTGTACGATGTTACAGCGAGGCTATCAAGCTGGACGATGGTAACCACGTCCTCTACAGCAACCGCTCGGCAGCACTACTCAAGTGTGGCAAGTACCTCGAGGCCCTGGGGGATGCAGATAAGACAGTGGAAATTAAACCTGACTGGGGAAAGGTGATTAAATTTCTCATGGATTTTGTGTGTGACTTGTCAGTTGTCTAAGATATCCTGATTTCATCCATCCATGCTTGTATTACTGACATGTTTGGGAATTCATGTACAGAAGGGGTAATGGGTGCCCCTATCCCAGGCACCAGTAATACTTCTTGCAGAGCAGGGTCCGATTTCGCTATTTACTTGGGGTGGGTATTGCAGAGAATTTTCATATTGCGATATATTGCGATGTGGAAGCATATATTGCGATGTGTATTGCAATATATTGCAAGGATTATTTTTTTAATAAAAACTACTTATAATCAAGTTAATGCTTGATTATAAAGCAAAACACAACAAAATCACTATGATTGATTAACCTTTTATAAAAACTTTTAATCATGACAAAATAAAAATGTAAGTAACATTTGACACTAATGAAACAGGGAAAAGAACAATTAAAATAACGGATATATCCGAAGATTTCCGAGTGTTACAAAGTTTTCCGAATGCATGTCAAAATACCGGTTTTCGATCAGCGTATCGCAATACATATCGTTTATTGTGCAGCCCTACTATTTACAACCTGCACCAGAGCATATTGAAAACCTAGTCAATAGCAGGATACTGTGTCTAAAGTCACAGACTGGTTGTTCTTTCAGGCAAGGGCCGAGAGTCAGACAGTAATTTTTATATGAAGCTGGTTCATTATTCACATTATTTTGTGCCAGTAGTTGTAGTTTTGTGTGAAATACTGGAATGTTGATTGGTGTGATTTCAGGGCTATTCACGTAAAGGTGCTGCACTATGTTACCTGGAGAGGTATCAAGAAGCATTGGAGGTCTATGAAGAGGGCCTGAAGCTGGATCCCAAAAATCAGCAGCTTCTAGATGGTCTGGATGATGCCAAGAAGCATCTTACTGGTAAGAAAGGTCTTGACCGGTTGTGCCATCAGTAACATACCCCTTGATGTAGCCCTCAGCTGTACGTGTCCCAGTCACACCAGTTGGTGTCACCTCGACACCCAGTTCAATCAGTCACACCATTTCTTTCTTTCAGGCCCTGCTGGGAGTCAGCCAGTGACAAATCCCTTTGCAATGCCGGATTTGTTTGTTAAGCTGGAAGCCAATCCGAAGACACGGGAGTTCCTGAAACAGCCGGACTACCGACTGATGATGGAAGCCCTACAGAAGAACCCTAACAGTTTACAGTGAGTGGTCAACATGGGCACCTAGTAGAGTTCCCGTGTGGAAAACTTGATAAACCCTCTGCAGCAGCTTTGTCTCCTGCTTTTGACTTGATGCAGCATCAGGCAAACTTCTTGTCTTCAGGTTGCACTGCACTCGGTATGTGTTCTCCAAGATTAGGAAGTGATGTTATTAAACAGGAAGTGCTTAAAAAAATTTCTGACGGGAACAAAAGACATAAGACTAAGTTGAACTGCCTGAAACAACAGTAAGGATCAAAGATGAATGTAGATAGATGAGCGATGACGTGAAGTCAGAACGGTTTCTGGCAGGAAAGTTTTGTCACATTCAGCATTACATTATACGGGCTGCTTCTGTTTGTGTATTTGCTAGTTGCAAACAGATTTGTTCTTATTTTATTTCAACATGATTTCCAGAAATATTCAAGATCCACGTATCATCGCAACACTTGGTGTCTTGTTTGGATTTGAAACTATGGGTGATGATCGTGAGGATCCAATGCCACCCCGGAAACAAGAGCAAGCCTCACCCAGAAACAACAAACAGCCGACCAAATCAGAAGACAAGTCTTTATCCTCAAATCAGAAACAGGTGGAGAATCATGTCTGTTCAAAAACTGGTGCCAAAACATTTTGTCTCGGAGTTACTTCCCTTGCTATATTTGTTTATAATTTTGAACACACACGGTTATGCAATGTCTGAATGGGGACACATTATTGCTGGGAGGGTAAAGATTCTGTAGTGAGATTTGTGTTTGGTTCAATATTCTGTAGAAAGATGTTCTTTGTGTTGGAAGGCTAGATAGGGAGACGTAGGGAGAAGTATGGTTACATGGTTGACTTGTTTCAGGCCTTGGAGGAGAAAGATAAGGGGAATGCAGCTTACAAGAAGAAGGACTTTGCTGCTGCACTGGAGCACTACCAGAAGGCTGCGGACCTCGACCCCGCAAACATCACCATCCTCACTAACAGGGCAGGTCAGTCTGACGAATGTACTAGCAACAAACGAGAAGTTCCAGCTTCATTAGTCATGCTACCGTTTTAGCAGTCAGAACATATTGCTTATTGTCATGATGAACATCCACTAGCCATGATAGACCACCAGGTTAAGATGAACATCCACTAGCCATGATAGATCACCAGGTTTAGATGAACATCCACTAGCCATGATAGACCACCAGGTTTAGATGAACATCCACTAGCCATGATAAACCACCAGGTTAAGATGAACAGCCACTAGCCATGATAGACCACCAGGTTTAGATGAACATCCACTAGCCATGATAGACCACCAGGTTTAGATGAACATCCACTAGCCATGATAGACCACCAGGTTTAGATGAACATCCACTAGCCATGATAAACCACCAGGTTTAGATGAACATCCACTAGCCATGATAGACCACCAGGTTTAGATGAACATCCACTAGCCATGATAGACCACCAGGTTTAGATGAACATCCACTAGCCATGATAAACCACCAGGTTAAGATGAACATCCACTAGCCATGATAAACCACCAGGTTTAGATGAACATCCACTAGCCATGATAAACAACCCGGTTTAGATGTACATCCACTAGCCATGATAGACCACCAGGTTTAGATGAACATCCACTAGCCATGATAGACCACCAGGTTTAGATGAACATCCACTAGCCATGATAGACCACCAGGTTTAGATGAACATCCACTAGCCATGATAGACCACCAGGTTAAGATGAACATCCACTAGCCATGATAGACCACCAGGTTAAGATGAACATCCACTAGCCATGATAGACCACCAGGTTAAGATGAACATCCACTAGCCATGATAGACCACCAGGTTAAGATGAACATCCACTAGCCATGATAGACCACCAGGTTTAGATGAACATCCACTAGCCATGATAAACCACCAGGTTTAGATGAACATCCACTAGCCATGATAGACCACCAGGTTAAGATGAACATCCACTAGCCATGATAGACCACCAGGTTTAGATGAACATCCACTAGCCATGATAGACCACCAGGTTTAGATGAACATCCACTAGCCATGATAAACCACCAGGTTTAGATGAACATCCACTAGCCATGATAGACCACCAGGTTTAGATGAACATCCACTAGCCATGATAGACCACCAGGTTTAGATGAACATCCACTAGCCATGATAAACCACCCGGTTTAGATGTACATCCACTAGCCATGATAAACCACCAGGTTAAGATGAACATCCACTAGCCATGATAAACCCCCAGGTTTAGATGAACATCCACTAGCCATGATAGACCACCAGGTTTAGATGAACATCCACTAGCCATGATAGACCACCAGGTTTAGATGAACATCCACTAGCCATGATAGACCACCAGGTTTAGATGAACATCCACTAGCCATGATAGACCACCAGGTTAAGATGAACATCCACTAGCCATGATAGACCACCAGGTTAAGATGAACATCCACTAGCCATGATAGACCACCAGGTTAAGATGAACATCCACTAGCCATGATAGACCACCAGGTTAAGATGAACATCCACTAGCCATGATAGACCACCAGGTTTAGATGAACATCCACTAGCCATGATAAACCACCAGGTTAAGATGAACATCCACTAGCCATGATAAACCCCCAGGTTTAGATGAACATCAACTAGCCATGATAAACCACCAGGTTTAGATGTACATCCACTAGCCATGATAGACCACCAGGTTTAGATGTACATCCACTAGCCATGATAGACCACCAGGTTTAGATGAACATCCACTAGCCATGATAAACCACCAGGTTAAGATGAACATCCACTAGCCATGATAGACCACCAGGTTAAGATGAACATCCACTAGCCATGATAGACCACCAGGTTTAGATGAACATCCACTAGCCATGATAGACCACCAGGTTTAGATGAACATCCACTAGCCATGATAGACCACCAGGTTAAGATGAACATCCACTAGCCATGATAAACCACCAGGTTAAGATGAACAGCCACTAGCCATGATAAACCACCAGGTTTAGATGAACATCCACTAGCCATGATAGACCACCAGGTTTAGATGAACATCCATTAGCCATGATAAACCACCAGGTTTAGATGAACATCCACTAGCCATGATAGACCACCAGGTTTAGATGAACATCCACTAGCCATGATAAACCACCAGGTTAAGATGAACATCCACTAGCCATGATAGACCACCAGGTTTAGATGAACATCCACTAGCCATGATAGACCACCAGGTTTAGATGTACATCCACTAGCCATGATAGACCACCAGGTTTAGATGTACATCCACTAGCCATGATAGACCACCAGGTTAAGATGAACATCCACTAGCCATGATAGACCACCAGGTTTAGATGTACATCCACTAGCCATGATAGACCACCAGGTTTAGATGAACATCCACTAGCCATGATAGACCACCAGGTTTAGATGAACATCCACTAGCCATGATAAACCACCAGGTTAAGATGAACATCCACTAGCCATGATAGACCACCAGGTTTAGATGTACATCCACTAGCCATGATAGACCACCAGGTTTAGATGAACATCCACTAGCCATGATAGACCACCAGGTTTAGATGTACATCCACTAGCCATGATAGACCACCAGGTTTAGATGAACATCCACTAGCCATGATAAACCACCAGGTTTAGATGAACATCCACTAGCCATGATAGACCACCAGGTTAAGATGAACATCCACTAGCCATGATAGACCACCAGGTTTAGATGAACATCCACTTGCCATGATAGACCACCAGGTTAAGATGAACATCCACTAGCCATGATAAACCACCAGGTTAAGATGAACATCCACTAGCCATGATAGACCACCAGGTTTAGATGAACATCCACTAGCCATGATAGACCACCAGGTTTAGATGAACATCCACTAGCCATGATAAACCACCCGGTTTAGATGAACATCCACTAGCCATGATAGACCACCAGGTTTAGATGAACATCCACTAGCCATGATAAACCACCAGGTTAAGATGAACATCCACTAGCCATGATAAACCCCCAGGTTTAGATGAACATCCACTAGCCATGATAAACCACCAGGTTTAGATGAACATCCACTAGCCATGATAGACCACCAGGTTTAGATGTACATCCACTAGCCATGATAGACCACCAGGTTTAGATGAACATCCACTAGCCATGATAAACCACCAGGTTAAGATGAACATCCACTAGCCATGATAGACCACCAGGTTTAGATGAACATCCACTAGCCATGATAGACCACCAGGTTTAGATGAACATCCACTAGCCATGATAAACCACCAGGTTTAGATGAACATCCACTAGCCATGATAGACCACCAGGTTAAGATGAACATCCACTAGCCATGATAAACCACCAGGTTAAGATGAACATCCACTAGCCATGATAAACCACCAGGTTAAGATGAACATCCACTAGCCATGATAGACCACCAGGTTTAGATGAACATCCACTAGCCATGATAGACCACCAGGTTTAGATGAACATCCACTAGCCATGATAGACCACCAGGTTTAGATGAACATCCACTAGCCATGATAAACCACCAGGTTAAGATGAACATCCACTAGCCATGATAAACCACCAGGTTTAGATGAACATCCACTAGCCATGATAGACCACCAGGTTTAGATGAACATCCACTAGCCATGATAGACCACCAGGTTTAGATGAACATCCACTAGCCATGATAGACCACCAGGTTTAGATGAACATCCACTAGCCATGATAAACCACCAGGTTAAGATGAACATCCACTAGCCATGATAGACCACCAGGTTAAGATGAACATCCACTAGCCATGATAAACCACCAGGTTAAGATGAACATCCACTAGCCATGATAGACCACCAGGTTAAGATGAACATCCATTAGCCATGATAGACCACCAGGTTTAGATGAACATCCACTAGCCATGATAGACCACCAGGTTAAGATGAACATCCACTAGCCATGATAGATCACCAGGTTAAGATGTACATCCACTAGCCATGATGATCCACTACTTCATCTGATGAACCCCCATAGTATTGATGAACCCCAATAGTATTGATGAACCTCCATAGTATTGATGAACCTCCATAGTATTGATGAACTCCCATAGTATTGATGAACCCCCATAGTATTGATGAACCTCCATAGTATTGATGAACCTCCATAGTATTGATGAACCCCAATAGTATTGATGAACTCCCATAGTATTGATGAACCTCCATGTAAATGATGAACCTCCATAGTATTGATGAGCCTCCATAGTATTGATGAACCTCCATAGTATTGATGAACCCCAATAGTATTGATGAACCTCCATAGTATTGATGAACCTCCATAGTATTGATGAACCCCAATAGTATTGATGAACCTCCATAGTATTGATGAACCCCCATAGTATTGATGAACCCCAATAGTATTGATGAACCTCCATAGTATTGATGAACCCCCATAGTATTGATGAACCCCATAGTATTGATGAACCTCCATAGTATTGATGAACCCCCATAGTATTGATGAACCTCCATAGTATTGATGAACCTCCATAGTATTGATGAACCCCCATAGTATTGATGAACCTCCATAGTATTGATGAACCTCCATAGTATTGATGAACCTCCATAGTATTGATGAACCCCCATAGTATTGATGAACCTCCATAGTATTGATGAACCTCCATAGTATTGATGAACCCCCATAGTATTGATGAACCCCCATAGTATTGATGAACCTCCATAGTATTGATGAACCCCCATAGTATTGATGAACCTCCATAGTATTGATGAACCCCCATAGTATTGATGAACCTCCATAGTATTGATGAACCTCCATGTAAATGATGAACCTCCATAGTATTGATGAACCTCCATAGTATTGATGAACCCCCATAGTATTGATGAACCCCCATAGTATTGATGAACCCCCATAGTATTGATGAACCCCCATAGTATTGATGAACTCCCATAGTATTGATGAACCTCCATAGTATTGATGAACCCCCATAGTATTGATGAACCCCCATAGTATTGATGAACCCCCATAGTATTGATGAACCTCCATGTAAATGATAAACCACTAGCGCTGATGATCGACTTCTTGATCTTCTAACCTTCCACTTCTGAACCTCCACTGGCCCTGACGAACCTCCTCTAGTACTGATGAACATATATTAGCCCTGATGAACCTCCACTGGCCCTGATGAACCTCCACTGGCCCTGATGAACCTCCTTTTGTACTGATGAACATATATTAGCCCTGATAAACCTCCACTGGCCCTGATGAACCTCCACTGGCCCTGATGAACCTCCACTGGCCCTGACGAACCTCCTTTAGTACTGATGAACATATATTAGCCCTGATAAACCTCCACTGGCCCTGATGAACCTCCACTGGCCCTGACGAACCTCCTTTAGTACTGATCAACATATATTAGCCCTGATAACCTCCACTGGCCCTGATGAACCTCCACTGGCCCTGATGAACCTCCACTGGCCCTGACGAACCTCCTCTAGTACTGATGAACATATATTAGCCCTGATAAACCTCCACTGGCCCTGATGAACCTCCACTGGCCCTGACGAACCTCCTCTAGTACTGATGAACATATATTAGCCCTGATGAACCTCCACTGGCCCTGATGAACCTCCACTGGCCCTGATGAACCTCCTATATCAGCCCTGAGTACTGATGATGAACATATATTAGCCCTGATGAACCTCCACTGGCCCTGATGAACCTCCTTTAGTACTGATCAACATATATTAGCCCTGATAACCTCCACTGGCCCTGATGAACCTCCACTGGCCCTGACGAACCTCCTCTAGTACTGATGAACATATATTAGCCCTGATGAACCTCCACTGGCCCTGATGAACCTCCTTTAGTACTGATGAACATATATTAGCCCTGATAAACCTCCACTGGCCCTGATGAACCTCCACTGGCCCTGACGAACCTCCTTTAGTACTGATGAACATATATTAGCCCTGATAAACTTCCACTGGCCCTGATGAACCTCCACTGGCCCTGATGAACCTCCTCTAGTACTGATGAACATATATTAGCCCTGATGAACCTCCACTGGCCCTGATGAACCTCCACTGGCCCTGACGAACCTCCTTTAGTACTGATGAACATATATTAGCCCTGATAAACCTCCACTGGCCCTAATGAACCTCCACTGGCCTTGAAGAACCTCTATCAGCTTTGATGAACCTTCACCAGCCCGAAGAATCTCCACTGGGCCTGCAGAACCTATACTAGTACCTATGAACCTCCTCTAGCCCTTACATGAGAAAACAACATAATCTTACATCACCCTCTGACCAAATGAGGATGCTCTCTGTGATTATTGCTGTTATAATCTCATGTTGCGATGTGTTGCAGCACCACTTCAACAATAATGTCATTCATCAATCAGCTGGCTTAATTATGTTGCTACCCTTGATTTAAATAGTCCAGATACTTTAACAGGTTGTTTCAAATATTCAGGAAGTAAAAATCTAATATGACTTTGTAGAATATTTAGACTACACCTTGAGTTGTCCTGACTGTTATCTGCTGTGTCCTTCACCTTCCTTCTTGTCTGTTCCAGCCGTGTATTTTGAACAAGCCAAGTACGACGACGTGTGTATAGAGGAATGTAAGGCAGCAATTGAACTAGGACGAGAACACAGAGCCGACTATAAATTGATAGCCAAGTAAGACACAACAGATCATGTTGATTAAGTAAAATTATCACGTTTCTTCCACTGGCCTGTATCTCCAGTTCTGGTTATTGTCATGGGTTTGGGACGGAACATCTGGGACCTGCTTCATTTCCATCTTTCCTCCACCATTCCACTGACAGCCATGATGTCTCCAGACAGCTGTCACAAGCATACCCAACTTCATCGCTTAATAACACTAGAAACATTTGGTTTTGTACATCAACATTGTGTTTCCAATGTACTCAACTGGATCACTGTGGCTAACAGGTTATCAAATGTAATGGTATAGTAAAACATTCACAATGAAATTTAACTGTGCTATGTCTGCAGCAGGTGTTCACAAGGAGCAAATCATTTATGCTATATGAGGTTTGATGTTCCTTTGAACGTTGAAGCTTTCAGAATTGGCTCAGTTGTGAGATGTGATAATAATTTTTCCTTTTATCTTTAGAAATGTTATGAAGTGGATGTAGATACAACAAATGCCATCACAGTGTTCGTGATTCACATATTCCCCTGGCTAACTTTCATTTGATATAAAACAGCAAAAACATTATCCCAGTGTATAATAGAAACAAGTCTCTGTAGCCTCTGACCTGGGGATCAACATCACATTGATGCTTTGTGTTGTGTGTATTTAATATAGCATTGATTACATGTGTTTCTTATGTTTGCAGAGCATGCTATCGTATAGGTAATGCATATATAAAAAAGGAGGATTTGACAAATGCATTGGCATTTTTCAACAAATCTTTATCAGAGCATCGAGTCCCAGACGTAGTGAAGAAAGCAAATGAGGTATGTTGCCTATGGTTGCCTTGGAACTGTATCATATAGGGATGTTCTCTACGGGCATGATTCTCATATGTCAAGTGTATGTTTCGGTATGTCTGACATATCTCATTGTCACCAAAGGTAACATATAAGTCTGTTTGGAAAAAAAGGTTAAACAAAGAAGGTTGAAGGGATTTGAACTGGTGTGTATATATCAGGTGTATGGTGTGTATGTATCGGGTGTATGGTGTATGCATCGGGTGTATGGTGTGTATGTATTGGGTGTATGGTGTGTATGTATCGGGTGTATGGTGTGTATATATCAGGTGTATGGTATGGTTGTATGTATCCGGGTGTATGGTGTATGCATTATGTATGGGTGTATGGTGTGTATGTATAGATTGTATGGTGGGTGTATGGTGTGTATGTATCAGTTTGTATGGTGTGTATGTATGTATGTATGTATGTGTATGTATCAGGTGTATGGTGTGTATGTATCAGGTGTATGGTGTGTATGTATCAGGTGTGTCAGTTGTATGGTGTATATCGGGTGTATGGTGTGTATGTATGGTGTGTATGTATATGGTGTGTATGTATGTGTATGTATCAGTGTATGGTGTGTATGTATATAGGGTGTATGATGTGTATGTATCGGGTGTATGGTGTGTATGTATCAGGTATGGTGTGTATGTATCAGGTGTATGATATGTATGTATCAGATTATTGTGTATCAGTGTGTATGTATCAGGTGTATGGTGTGTATGTATCAGTTGTATGGTGTGTATGTATATGGGTGTATGAGTGTGTATGTATCGGTGTATGGTGTGTATGTATCAGTGTATGATGTGTATGTATGTATCAGTTGTATGGTGTGTATGTATCAGTATGGTGTGCAGTGTATGTATGTATGTGTATATATCAGGTGTATGTATGGTATGTATGTATCCGAATTAATATGATGTGTATCAGGTGTATGTGTGTATTATGTATGTATGGGTGTATGTATGTGTATGTATCAGGTGTATGGTGTGTATGTATCAGGTGTATGGTGTGTATGTATCAGGTGTGTATGGTGTGTATGTATGAGTGTATGGTGTGTATGTATGGTGTATGGTGTATGTATGTATGATGTGTGTATGTATGTGTGTGTATGTATATGTATGTATGTATCAGGTGTATGTATCAGGTGTATGTATGTAGGTGTATGATGTGTATGTATCGTATGGTGTGTATGTATCAGGTGTATGTATCAGTATGTGTATGATGTGTATGTATCAGATTGTATGGTGTGTATGTATCAGTGTATGTATGGTGTGTATGTATGTATGTATGTATGTATCATGTTATATGGTGTGTATGGTGTATATAGTTGTATGATGTGTATGTATGGGTGTATGGTGTGTATGTCAGGTGTATGGTGTGTATGTATCAGGTGTATGGTATGTGTATGTGTATAGTGTATGTATCAGGTGTATGATATGTATGTATGGGGTGTATGTATGATGTGTATGTATCAGTTATTATGGTGTGTATGTATTAGGGTGTGTATGTATAGGGTGTATGGTGTGTATGTATCAGGTGTATGGTGTGTATGTATCGGGTGTATGGTGTGTATGTATGGGGTGTATCGTGTGCATGTATCGGGTGTATGGTGTATATTTCGGGTGTATGGTGTGTATGTATCGGGTGTATGGTGTGCATGTATCAGGTGTATGGTGTGTATGTATCAGGTGTATGGTGTGCATGTATCCGGGTGTATGGTGTGTATGTATCAGATTGTATGATGTGTATGTATCAGGTGTATGGTGTGTGTGCATGTATAATGTATGGTGTATGGTGTGTATGTATTGGATTGTATGGTGTGTATATCAGATTGTATGGTGTGTATGTATCAGTGTATGGTGTGTATGTATCAGGTGTATGGTGTGTATGTATCAGTGTATGGTGTGTATGGTGTGTATATCCAGTTGTATGGTGTGTATGTATCAGATTATTATGGGTGTATGTGTGTGGTGTATGGTGTATGTATCAGTGTATGGTGTGATTGTATGTATCAGTGTATGGTGTGTATGTATCAGATTGTATATGTGTATGTATCAGGTGTATGGTGTGTATGTATCAGTGTATGATGTGTATGTATCAGGTGTATGGTGTGTATGTATCGGGTGTATGGTGTGTATGTATCAGGTGTATGGTGTGTATGTATCAGGTGTATATGGTGTATGGTGTGTATGTATCAGGTGTATGGTGTGTATGTATCAGGTGTATGGTGTGTATGTATCAGGTGTATGGTGTGTATGTATCAGGTGTATGGTGTGTATGTATCAGGTGTATGGTGTGTATGTATCAGGTGTATGGTGTGTATGTATCAGGTGTATGGTGTGTATGTATCAGGGTGTATGGTGTGTATGTATCAGGTGTATGGTGTGTATGTATCAGGTGTATGGTGTGTATGTATCAGGGTGTATGGTGTGTATGTATCGGGTGTATGGTGTGTATGTATCAGGTGTATGGTGTGTATATATCAGGTGTATGGTGTGTATGTATCGGGTGTATGGTGTATGTATGTGTGTATGTATCAGGTGTATGGTGTGTATGTATGGTGTATGGTGTGTATGTGTGTATGTATCAGGTGTATGTGTGTATGTATATGTAGGTGTATGTATGATTGTATATGTGTATGTATCAGGTGTATGGTGTGTATGTATCAGATTGTATGGTGTGTATGTATCAGGTTGTATGGGTGTGTATGTATGGTGATAGGTGTATCAGTGTGTATGTATGTATGTCAGGTGTATGGTGTGTATGGTGTATATATGTGTATATATCAGTATGGTGTGTATATCAGGTGTATGGTGTATGGTGTGTATGTATGGTGTATGGTGTGTATGTATCAGGTGTATGGTGTGTATGTATCAGGTTAATATGGTGTGTATGTATCCAGGTTGTATGGTGTGTATGTATCAGATTGTATGGTGTATGTATCGGGTGTATGTATGTGTATGTATAGGGTGTATGATTATTATATATGTATATGTATCAGTTGTATGGGTGTGTATGTCTCGGGTGTATGGTGTGTATGTATTAGATTGTATTGTGTGGTATGTATCAGTTGTATGGTGTGCATGTATCAGGGTGTATGGTGTGTATGTATCAGGTGTATGGTGTATGTATCGGGTGTATGCATCGGGTGTATGGTGTGTATGTATCAGGTGTATTATTGTGTGCATGTATCGGGTGTATGTATCGGGTGTATGGTGTGCATGTATCAGGTGTATGGTCTGCATGTATTGGGTGTATGGTGTAGATGTATCGGGTGTATGGTGTGTATGTATCGGGTGTATGATGTGTATGTATCGGGTGTATGGTGTGTATGTATTGGGTGTATGATGTGTATGTATCAGGTGTATGGTGTGTATGTATCAGGGTGTATGATGTGTATGTATCAGGTGTATGGTGTGTATGTATGGGGTGTATGATGTGTATGTATCAGGTGTATGGTGTGTATGTATTGGGTGTATGATGTGTATGTATCGGGTATATGGTGTGTATGTATCGGGTATTATTGTGTATGGTGTATTATGCGGTCCAGTGTATGGTGTGTATGTATCAGGTGTATGGTGTGTATGTATCGGGTGTATGGTGTGTATGTATTGGGTGTATGATGTGTATGTATCGGGTGTATGGTGTGTATGTATCGGGTGTATGGTGTGTATGTATCAGGGTGTATGGTGTGTATGTATCAGGTGTATGGTGTGTATGTATTAGGTGTATGATGTGTATGTATCAGGGTGTATGGTGTGTATGTATCGGGTGTATGGTGTGTATGTATTGGGTGTATGATGTGTATGTATCGGGTGTATGATGTGTATGTATCGGGTGTATGGTGTGCATGTATCGGGTGTATGGTGTGTATGTATCGGGTGTATGATGTGTATGTATCGGGTGTATGGTGTGTATGTATCGGGTGTATGGTGTGCATGTATCAGGTGTATGGTGTGCATGTATTGGGTGTATGGTGTGTATGTATGGGGTGTATGGTGTGTATGTATCGGGTGTATGGTGTGTATGTATTGGGTGTATTTATCGTGTATAACATGTGTATGTATCATGTATATCATGTGTTTGTATCATGTATATCGTGTATATATCATGTAATTCATGTGTATGTAATGTGTATATCTTTGGTATGTATAGCATGTGTATGAATCATGTGTATATATTGTGTATAGCATGTGGATGTATTGTGTATAGCATGTGTATGGTGTGTACTAACTTGCTTTCTGATTTGTCAGGTTGAAAAATTGATCAAAGAGAGAGAAAAATTAGCATATATCAACCCAGAATTGTCTCTACAAGAAAAGGAGAAGGGGAACGAATGCTTCAAGAAAGGTAAAGTAGTCCAAACCATACAGAAATTAACATAATCCAAAATCTGGGCTGTATGTTGTAACATGGACACAATTTGACACTGTGTTACATCCCTTAGGCAGGAGTTAGGGGATTTAGAACCCACTGATCTTGGGATTGAGTCACAGATTCATTGTGATTATGTTTAAACGATTACCTTATCTGTGCTAGGGACTGTAAATGCCTTGAGGCATGACATACATTTCTACAAACTGACTGAACGTTCTGTGTAAGGTTACTTCAATATGCCGTGGCTGCTGATATTCTTGCCTCACTGAAGTAATCAGCTGTGGAGGGAGTGACTGATTGATATTCTTGGGCGGGGAGTGGGGCCTAGGTTTTTGTATGGACACTAGATATTTTTTCAGCCACTACTGCAAAAACATCTACTCTCTGTTCAGCATCCCAGGCATTGTTTAATGCAACTATGAACCAAAGAACTCTTTAAAGGTTGAAAATATACATCTTTCACTGAGTTTCAGCAATTTTCAGTGTAATTACAAGAAAGCATTTATATATATTGGGGCATTTTTTGTGGGACAAAACGTTTTTGTTGAAATCTCGGAAAATGTCAGGTGGTAATTGGTTGTAGTAAATGTTTATTCTGTTTCCATGGTAGTTTTCTTAAACGCCATGCTTCACTTGTTTCGATGCAGGTGATTATCCTAATGCTGTGAAGCATTACACAGAGGCCGTTAAACGGAACCCGGAGGACGCCAAGCTTTACAGCAACAGGTCTGCCTGTTACACAAAGCTCATGGAGTTTGAGCTGGCGCTGAAAGATTGTGATACATGTATCAAGATTGACCCCAAATTCAGTAAGTTTATGACTGCTTCGAGTGACAGGACTTCTGTAAGTTTGCAGACTGGCCACTTTATGTGGAGGTTTTAGATTTTACACTTTCAGTTCCATGCCATGTCATATCATTTCGGTGCAGCATGTTAGACGTGCCTTTGTGGATGGGGATGCCTTCTATCTTTGTGTAAAATGGGGCAGTGGGGTAGCCTAGTGGTTAAAGCTTTTGTTTGTCACGCTGAAGACCAAGGTTCAGTTCCCCACTCACTCACTCACTCTCTTTATGTAGTGGTGGTGAACACAAAGATCTGACTTTAATTAGATGGCTTGAAAGTAAACAATGACTCGTGTAGAACGTCTCTGATGCCAAGTTCTCTGTTTCAGTTAAAGGCTATCTACGTAAGGGAGCTAATCTGCTGGCTATGAGGGAACCGACCAAGGCTTCCGTGTGGTATCAGAAGGCTCTGGACATTGACCCCAGCTGTCAGGTGCCATGTTTTGACTTACAGTCATTAATGTTTGACATATTAACATTTATGATGGGCATCCAGTCACATTTGTTGGAAGTGCAATCAGTCATTGGCCAGTATAGAGGGATCCACACAGCAGTTGGTCTTCAGCAACCCATGATAGGAGGCAACTGCTTGTTGTAAAGAGCATCGAACTTATTTGGTGGTCAGAGTTGATGATGTCGTTGATGGATGAGATAGTATCCCAAAAGCTCAAGTTGCCAACCAATGGATTGGCCGAGATTCAATCATATGCAGTGTGCTGTTATATGCTGAGGGTGGTTGTAAACAACACCACCCGTGAAGATCCAGGTTAGAATTCTCTTCAGTAACCCATGTTTGATGTAAGAGGCGACTAATGGGATCTGGTGGTCAGGCTCGCTGACTTGGTTGACAAGTCATCGTATCACAACTGCTTGGATTGATGCTCAAGATTGTCTGATCCAGACTCGATTACGTACAGTTTGCTGGCATATAGCTGGAATATTACCGAGTGCTGTGTTAAACAACAATCCAAATTTAAACAAGAAAGAAACCAAAACTGCACTCTATGATGTATTGAATCTGTTCAAAGCTAAGTCAGCCTTAACTTACTCTGTTTGGTGTAAGTCTATTATGAAATTCTGTATTTATACCAGGAAGCACTTGACGGCTACAAGAAGTCAGCAACTGCCGAGAACAGCGACCCCGAGGCAGTGAAGAAGCGTGCAATGAGTGACCCCGAGGTGCAGCAGATCCTGCAGGATCCAGCTATGCAGATGATCCTGCAACAGATGACCAAAGACCCTAACGCAGTCCGAGAGTAAGTGTTTCACTGTCACTTTGTCCTGTGTTTGTATGTGCTGTAACTAGCAATGGGCTGCTATTAGCTCAGCTGTCTTGTACAGATTTGACTGTACAGACACTGTCCCAACAACTGACCAATATCTGAGTCTTGATATCATGTGATATCATGTGATATCATGTGATATCATGTGATATCAGTGTCTAAAGTGATTCATAAACAGGTACATCAGAAACAGAATGTTTGAGATAATGTTTTTGCTTGAGGGTAACTTATTGATATATATTTTAATTTTCAGTGTTGACCCGTGAAGATCCGGGTTAGAATATTGATCTTCAGTAACCCATGTTTGTTGTAAGAGGCGACTAACGGGATCTGGTGGTCAGGCTCGCTGACTTTGTTGACACATGTCATCGGTTCCCAATTGCGTAGACCGATGCTCTTGCTGTTGATCAATGGATTGTCTGGTCCAGACTCGATTATTTACAGACCACCGCCATATAGCTGGAATGCTGCTGAGGGCGGCGTAAAACTAAACTCACTCACTCACTATTTTCAGTTTTGAAGAGTGTAAAGCATGTTCTGACATCATCATTGTTGTTTCAGGCACCTGAAGAACCCCCAGATTGCTGCTAAGATTCAGAAGTTGATGGAAGTTGGCATCATTGCCATACACTAAGGATTGCCTTAACTTGGTCGTCACTTCCGTCATGACCTCCAGGGGGTGCTGTGCTTGTTGAGCTCACTTCATGATCATCTTCATGTCTCTGATACGCAACTGGCCTTTGATAGTGCATGTGTATGTATATAGGAAGACTGAAGAGTGGTAAAACTGCCTTGAACAGTGCCAGGTACATTGCTCTCTAAAATGTGTGCTTCTTGTTCATACCTATAAATTGGAACTATGAATTAACTATTTGTAATAAGTTACATTTTAGCATACTTGAATTGTACTTGTTATTTCTGGCTTTCATGTTGTAAAAGAAAGCAATCAGTGAAGACATTCTAGGACAACATTGTTTTATAATCGGACATCAGGTGACATTTCACATAGGACAGCTTGACATGCTGTCACATGGCCTGGGGCAGCCAACAGGAACCTTCCCACCAGCTACTCTTCAACAATGCTTCTGCAGTTCATCTGGTCATGTACATCGAAGAGCTTCATTTTGGATCAGCAACATTTTGTGCCGGTCTGGAGGGGATTAAGTCTTGTGTATGTTTTCCTGTATCAAATATGGTTGTATTTGTCATGCCTCACATGTAACTGAATACCTTGACTTCTGCCTGCAGGATTATTGAAACAACCATTTGCACAAAGTCTGCTGTTTCAGAAACAGTGCTGTATAAAGGAGGACATCATCAATCTTCAGATTTGTGTTTGTTTTCATTTTACTTTGTCATAAGTATGCTAAGAGTGTGGAATAGATTCTCCTTGCCAGAGTTGCTGATTGTTTCATTATCTGGGGCATTCAGTGATTGTCGACAGACATGTGTTAAAGATATTTTTCAATGTACAGAATGTCATAGAGACAATGTCCCATCAAGACAATGGATACATCATGTATATGCTAATGACAGTTGTATTAAGTAAAATCACTTAGACATTGAGATATTTCATAATGTGTACATGAACATCAGGAGTATCTGTTAAAATCAGTAGAATATGCTATTTCTATTCACATTCAAATGACACCATATTTTTCTTGGGAGTCCCTCCTTTCTTGTTATCAAAGCTAGTATGGATACTCTTTAATATCTTTGGTATATATCTTGAGTATGTTGTTAACTGAAATGAGATTGAAACTGTAATTGTGTGGGCCATTGATTGTGCCACTGGAACAACTGTGACTTACTCAACTTGATAATGTAGCTAAATCTGTGTAGTTTTCATACATGAAACATCCATCACTCAAGGAAATGTTGAACTACTACGATATTACTAAGTAGTGGACTGTAAGGAAGGTAATCGCCATAACTTCATTGTAATTCACGCAATCCACCCACAGACTCTTCATTCACACAATCCACCCACATACTCTTCGTTCACACAATCCACCCAGACTCTTCATTCACACAATCCACCCACAGACTCTTCATTCACACAATCCATTTGCATACTATCATCCAACAAGACATGCTTGTCATAAAAATGACAAAATGTTATTGGGTGGTCAGACTCATATGCGTATCTCAACGGTGAAGGTAGATGCACTGGATTGTCAGGTCCAGACTTGAGTATTTACAGATTGCCTCCTTGCAGCTGGAATATTGCTGAGTGTGGCATTAAATCAGATGTCCAGGCTACTTGCTAGGACAGTGATCTGTCTGAAGGTCTAGACAACTGTCCAGTATTCTGTCTCAAGGTCTAGACAACTGTCCAGTATTCTGTCTGAAGGTCTAGACAACAGGCCAGTGATCTGTCTGAACGTCAATGTCAACAAGCCAGTATTCTCACCGAAGGTCTAGACAGCAGGCCAGTATTCTAAGAGAAGGTCAAGACAGCAGGCCAGTGTTCTGTCTGAAGGTTAAAACAACAGGCCAATATTCTGTCTGAAGATTAAAACAACAGGCCAATATTCTGTCTGAAGGTTTAAACAAAAGGCCAATATTCTGTCTGAAGGTCTAGACAACTGTCCAGTATTCTGTCTGAAGGTCTAGACAACAGGCCAGTGATCTGTCTGAACGTCTAGACAACTGTCCAGTATTCTGTCTGAAGGTCTAGACAACAGGCCAGTGATCGGTCTGAACGTCAATGTCAACAAGCCAGTATTCTAACCGAAGGTCTTGACAGCAGGCCAGTATTCTAAGTGAAGGTCAAGACAGCAGACCAGTGTTCTGTCTGAAGGTTGAAACAACAGGCCAATATTCTGTCTGAAGGTTGAAACAACAGGCCAATATTCTGTCTGAAGGTTTAAACAAAAGGCCAATATTCTGTCTGAAGGTTTAAACAAAAGGCCAATATTCTGTCTGACGGTCTAGACAACTGTCCAGTATTCTGTCTGAAGGTCTAGACAACAGGCCAGTGATCTGTCTGAACGTCTAGACAACTGTCCAGTATTCTGTCTGAAGGTCTAGACAACAGGCCAGTGATCGGTCTGAACGTCAATGTCAACAAGCCAGTATTCTAACCGAAGGTCTTGACAGCAGGCCAGTATTCTAAGTGAAGGTCAAGACAGCAGACCAGTGTTCTGTCTGAAGGTTGAAACAACAGGCCAATATTCTGTCTGAAGGTTGAAACAACAGGCCAATATTCTGTCTGAAGGTTTAAACAAAAGGCCAATATTCTGTCTGAAGGTCAAGACAACTGTCCAGTATTCTGTCTAAAGGTTAAAACAACTGGCCCGTGATCTGTCGGAAGGTCTAGACAACAGGCCAGTGATCTGTCAGAAGGTCTAGACAACAGGCCAGTGTTATGTCTGAAGGTCAAGACAATAGGCCAGTGTTCCGTCTGAAGGTCTAGACAACAGGCCAGTGTTCTGTCTGAAGGTTAAAACAACAGGCCAGTATTCTAACTGAAGGTCAAGACAACAGGCCAGTGGTCTTTGGTTGGACAGTGAAGCAGCCTGTTCCTCCTTGTGTAGTGTTGTAGATGGGTTTTTTCTCTCTGAAGCTTCATGAAGATGAGAAGATGCTCACTCAATGACTGGAAAACATAGTGTGTGATTCAAAACCAGATACAAACTCAAGGAAATGAAACTCTTGTATATTTTGTTGATTTGTGTAAGGGACTGGAATGATGAAAATGAATATAGAGGATAATGTGATTTATTAATCCCACTTCCTGTTAATAAAGGTTAATGTGATACTGTGGTTTGTAGTCTTGTGTTTCACTGATACAGCACCAACAGAGGCGTACAGGATTCGTTATGTTATTGCAGTGATTGCAGTGTAAGACAATGTTAAAGTACCTCTGAGTTTACGAAAATAGAAACTTTAATAAATCACAGTGGATGAACATAAAGCATAATGCCTTAGGCACTCAGTTGGGACTTCTAGTTAGGTGTTTGTAAATGTATGATGTTCCGTGTACACTATCCTAACACTCCTTCAGATGCAGTGCTACAAGGTACACCCATCTACAACCCGACCACCCATACCAGACACACCATTAGTTGTATGAAAATGGAAACACTGGTACACAGATCGCAACAGCCTGTGAGTGAGTGAGTGAATTGAGTTTGCACTCCGCAATATTCCAGCTATATGGCGGCCCTGTCTGTGAGTCAGGTCTGGGTCAGACAAACCAGTCAGTGAGAGGATGAGCATCCAAGCCATTGAGGTGCGATGACACAAAGGTTTTGTCCAAAGTTGGGGCAAATGGTTTCTACCAGGGAACATATGTCTGGGTGTATTTAACCTTACAGTTTGGTGTATTGTCATCGTGCAGTGTGTTGAGATACTCTTGTAATGGTCAGGTCACTATGTCCGACATCCAGGTCGTGTGCGTGTTACATTAAGGTCACCTATAGTGTGTTCTGTCTCGCCTCTACAGAACGTTGCTCACCTATAGTGTGTTCTTTCTCGCCTCTACAGAACGTTGCTCACCTATAGTGTGTTCTGTCTCGCCTCTACAGAACGTTGCTCACCTATAGTGTGTTCTGTCTCGCCTCTACAGAACGTTGCTCACCTATAGTGTGTTCTGTCTCGCCTCTACAGAACGTTGCTCACCTATAGTGTGTTCTTTCTCGCCTCTACAGAACGCTGCTCACCTATAGTGTGTTCTGTCTCGCCTCTACAGAACGTAGCTCACCTATAGTGTGTTCTTTCTCGCTACTCACCTATACAGAACGTTGCTCACCTATAGTGTGTTCTGTCTCGCCTCTACAGAACGTTGCTCACCTATAGTGTGTTCTGTCTCGCCTCTACAGAACGCTGCTCACCTATAGTGTGTTCTGTCTCGCCTCTACAGAACGCTGCTCACCTATAGTGTGTTCTGTCTCGCCTCTACAGAACGTTGCTCACCTATAGTGTGTGTGTCTCGCCTCTGTCTCGCCCTCGCCTCACGTTGCTCACCTATAGTGTGTTCTGTCTCGCCTCTACAGAACGTTGCTCACCTATAGTGTGTTCTGTCTCGCCTCTACAGAACGTTGCTCACCTATAGTGTGTTCTGTCTCGCCTCTACAGAACGTTGCTCACCTATAGTGTGTTCTGTCTCGCCTCCTCTAGTGTGCCTCTCTGCTCACCTATAGTGTGTTCTGTCTCCGTTCAGAACGTTGCTCACCTATAGTGTGTTCTGTCTCGCCTCTACAGAACGTTGCTCACCTATAGTGTGTTCTGTCTCGCCTCTACAGAACGTTGCTCACCTATAGTGTGTTCTGTCTAGCCTCTACAGAACGTTGCTCACCTATAGTGTGTTCTGAACATACTATATATTTAATATCCATGTGATGAACTAGTGTCAGGCCGCGTTAGTTCGGACCCCGATAATCCGATTCCCGCGATATCCGAACGGTAGCAAGCTGTAACCAATTTTTTTAACTATGTAAACTCATTAACTTTTGCTTCATTAAGCCGGTGCTTCACTCTCCGGATCCGGACGTTAATTAGTAGTCTGATTTACAAAAAAAATAAATAAATAACAGCGTAGACCTTTTTCATTTACGTTTATTTAACAGCGTGGTATAGACCTCTCTTGTCGACAGAACTGTATAGTCAGGTTCTGTTTGTATAGACAGACAAATAAAGGCAGACTACATAACGAACACGAGATGTTGAGATCCTCTCGCAGTGGTTATAAGTGTTGCAGGTCAGGTACACTGGAATCTTGTCCAGCATATAACTAGACGACTTTGCACTATACCAAGGTGTGCTCGATGTAGGCCTTGACTGGAATGCGAGTTTATTTATATGAACTAATTGATATCCAGCAGGTGACAGTTAGCTGCAGCCAGGGTGAATCACAGTAGGCCATGGTAGGGGGTGGGGTGACAATCTCTACAAATACCGGATGTGTTCATACGTGGTATAATGTTTCCACTATTTAATGATAATGTTAAATTGTCTATTATTCAAATATAATGAGTACGAATTTGATTTTAAGTCACATCGGAAATATTTCAGCCATATTATTATGTGACATTTATGACAATAGAATAGAGAATACATACTGGACAATCGAAGATGTATCTGATGTTAATGCATTCACAAATACATGACTTTCAGCGTGGGGATACGTTTTGCCAGTTCATTACATACATATACACGCAAGAGAACCGTAAGGCAGAGCACTAGTGTGTCGGAGATCAGTTAATATCTTACTCTCAGTCTAGTGGACGTGTGTTGGCGGAGGGTCTGGCCATGGGGTCGAACTGTTGGAGACTGAAACTGAACTGGGTTTTGGCGTTTGGACGACAACCCAGATCCGAGTGAACTGTCTCGCCTGATAGCTGACTGACCCGGGAGAGAGAGGAGACTTAAACTTGGGCGATGAGTTCCTGCAGAGGCAGTGTCATCTGCCGTCTTCCGGGCCATATCTTCCCGCGCTTTTTCAACTGCAGGACCGAGGCTTGGTAGTTCAACATACATCCGCTCGAGCTCCACGAGGACGTCAGGTTTGTGGCAGTTCCTAGTACAGGGGAACGTCATATTCCGCAGGACCCGGCGCGACTCTTCCCCAGACTTGTACTCGGCCAGCATCTCTTGTGCATTCTTCCTGGGACGCCGGACAGACCCTATAGCCTTGGGATCACCTGCCCACAGACTGTCCGGCAGCGCAGGAAGAGAAGTCTTAGCCCTCGGCCACGCTTCTGGCTTGTCAGCGCCTGCTGCCTGTATGCGGATCTGTGGCTTGGTAAGTTTGGAAGAAGGTGACTTTACCTGAAGTGGACTGTTGATTTGAATAAAGTTTATCTTCGGCATCTTCGGTGTGTCTTTCTGCATGGGTGCACTGTGATTTGATGCACGTCTCGCTGTCTGAGATTGCAGTCTAGAGAACACGCTGGAATTGACGTCGTTCACGGAGCTTCTCCGTGAGCAGGAGGAGACCGTCAACAGAGGCGTCCTGCCAACTGATGGAGTAGCTGGGAGCAGACCCAGACTTGGCCTCTTGGTGTCGGGGGTACCCCGTTTATCTGTTATGTTTTGGCGACTTTCAGTGTATTTGGGAGTCTTGGCGATCCTTGGAGACACGAGTCTCACTGGCGGTCGTCTCTTGAACTGAGATGTGTCTGATGTCTTCTGGCTAGCACGATGGATGCCGACTACGAAGCGTCTGACCTTCTGGGCGAGAATAATGTCCGACACCACCTTCTTCAACTTGATCTTAGTCACATGGTTTCTCTGTCGCGCTTTTACGAACTCACGCAGGAAATATTCACTTTCATCCATGTTGGTTAACAATTGGTATTACAGCCTTTGGGTTTTAATGTGTGTACTAAACGGAGACGTATTTACTCACATAATTGTTCAGCTTATCTCCTCGTCCGTCCGTTTGTTACGGCGCTGTGTACCGCCTCACATGTGTGAGAGGCATATCACTCAAATGTTCCATTTAAAGGGAATAACAAAGTTTCCTATAGTTCACTGGGAGCGTATAGACGCTGCCTATGGAGTGAGTTGTCCCTCATCTTGCATTCTAATCACACAGTCACTTGTAGACAGTTTGCTGCTGTTGATTTCACCAAAGGACTTCTACACCCGTTTCTAACCTCGTATTATGTCGTTGCGATCGCGAGATTTCCCATTTGGCATCACAGTGATCAGACCAGTGGCTATAAACCCCGCATGTAGTGATTCAGGCTAATCTATATCAAGCCTGGTGAAGCGTGGATATAAAGAGCATTTGCGTGAGGTCTTAATCTCATCTAGGGTCAAGTCGCTTGTTTAAATCCACAATAGCTCCACAGCGGGATTAGCTGTGGGTCCCTGCGTCAAGGAACATCAAGCCTCTTGCCAACCAGTAGGCGGCCATGGGGGCACACCTGATCATTTCCTTTCTTTGATGAAATACAACCTTCACATAAAGTCGAGCAGTGGTCTGTAGCCTGACAACGCAGGGTGGAGCTCGAGCACCGACATTTCCCCTTCTCGCCTGTTTCATGCACGGCTAGTTCACTTTCTACTACGCAGTTGCACGCAGCATTTAGCCAAGTGACACGAAGGAACTGGTTACATGTATTACTTGTTCACGCACGTGGGACACCCGTAGTATAACTCGCTGTATGGAGTTGTGTCCTTTAGTCGAAAACAGCCTGTGGTCAGAGGTTCGAATCCCAGTATCAGCACGATGTACGTCAGACTCCATCTACCAATTTCCACTGACAAGTATTGAATATTGGACATAATGGCGTTAACAAACCATATTCATTCGCTAACAGTTTGTACTGTTTTGATTGTTTTACAGGTTTACACATGGCACGCATTTGACTTTTTAATTATACTGTTTTGAAACACACGTTGTGAAAATACCCAGTTTCCATAAGATATGTCCTATTTTCCGGATGATGTTTCATAGTTCAATTTGGTAGTTAAAAAGCATACAATTTCTTTGTCTTTACTACACCAGACTCCTGTTATATATTGTCTCTAAGGCTTGCACTGCAACAGATTTTCCAGGAGTTTATATATGCGTCGTTATCAATGACTTGGTCGTGCCAATCTTGTTTCTACGTTCGTCTTGTATATAGAACATCAGTGCATAATAATACCCAGTCTTGACTATCCTCAGAAACACATTCCGTTTGGTGCAAAGGGGAAATAACTGCGAAAATTATATGAATGGATCACTAGAAGTCAGCAGGTTTGAATATGTCCCGGTGTAAAGGGTGATCGTATCCTACTAGACGTGATGCTTGTGTAAAAGGTTTGTTCCCAAGTATACAATTTCCAAGGTGTAAATATTTCCAAATACACCATGATCATATCGTAATTGTTAATATTGAACATTATCAGCTAATAATTATTAGAATACTACCTCTTACAATGTTTTTCTTTAACCTTGTTTCTGAGTCCATAGGTTTAGCTTAAATATATCAAATTAAAAGTGACCCGTAAAGATCCGGGGTAGAATAGGTCTTCAGCAACCCATGCTTGCCACAAAAGGCGACTATGCTTGTCGTAAGAGGCGACTAACGGGATCGGGTGGTCAGGCTCGCTGACATGGTTGACACATGTCATCGGTTCCCAATTGCGCAGATCGATACTCATGCTGTTGATCACTGGATTGTCTGGTCCAGACTCGATTATTTACAGATCGCCGTCATATGCTGAAATATTGCTGGGTGCGGCGAAAAACTCAACTCACTCAATTTAAAAGTCCGTGGTTTGGTGTTGACTTTCATCCAAGTGTCTCGTGATGGTCTCCAACAAGGAACTGTCGCACCGCTTGTTATTTCCTTCAGCTCTGACTGTGATGCCACTGATGACGAAGTCACAGATCATTCAGAATAGATTTTGAGACGCTCCCCTCCTCACCTGTCTATTCCCGTTGCTGCCGTGCGCCCCTCCGCGCCAACTGTCAACAATCATGTACAGTACAACCAGAAATTATTGAGAATTTAAAGATTGTAATTTTTTATTTTTTTCACTCATTACTCACGTATTAAATGTGAATCTAAGCAGAACATAACTCCAGATTCAAAGACAGGTGAACAGTTAGTATGGCAGCAATGCAGGCTTCAATGCAGCGGGGCATACTAATGATCAAAGAAGTTAGAAAGTCGTGGTCCATGCTGTCCCAATATCGGACCACCTCTTCTTTCATTTCAGCAATATTTGTCAGATTTTTCTTATTGGCACTTTCCTTCATAAGTCCCCAAACATTTTCTATCGGATTTAGGTCAGGGCTATAGCTTGGCCAATCTAATAATGTCATATTTTGGGTCCGAAACCAGGCCTTTGAATGATTTGAACGATGTTTAGGGTCGTTGTCCTGCTGGAAAATCCAAAATTGTCCATAGAACACGTGAGCAGATGGAAGTAAATGTCCCTCGAGAATATCTGTGTACCGCTCACTGTTCATATTCCCTTCAAATACACAGAGGGGCGTTGCCCCTAAAACAGATATGCCACCCGACACGTTAAATTTCGGACTGTACTTTGGGCGCTGCTTCAGAAATAAGTACATATCAAAATATTTTAGTAAATGTCCATCAATTATTAATTTTATATCAATATTACAGAGTAAAAGTGTTAATATTATCAAGGATGTATGTCTATTTTTATACTTTGTTGACAAGAAACACAAATCTAAATGAAATATATATGTGCTCTACTTATCATCAATTTATGTACACTGTACATGTATTTTGGGCCGGAGGCCTGTTACTGAAATAAAATTATGTTCTCTTCTGTTCTGATACAAAGGTTTTTCAGTTTGTTTGGTCCAGAATTTCAGTGTATTAGGAAACAGCCACACAGAACTTTCATCTGAGAAAATCACATTGTCCCAGTTAAAATTTCTATACTGTAAGCACCAGTTCAACCTTCGCTCCTTTTGTTCAGGTTTCATGATCGGTGACGGAATTTTCGACTTTTCTGCCAACCCATTGCATGCAGCTCAGTTCAAATTGTCTCCTTACAGACAGCCACAGTTCCTCTATCAATCATATCCTGCCTTAAGTTTTCTAAACTCCTTCGTTTGTTTTTAGAAACAAGAATACCAAGCCACCTCCTGTCACCGACAGTCAATTTTCTGCGCCTCCCTTGTGCTCAATGCCACATCCATTTGCAATATATTTCAAAACACGATAAACAGTGGACAAAGGGATGTCTGTCCTACTTGAAATCACTTTAACTGATCTGATGTCCTTGTTATAATACTCTAAAATCAACTTCCTCTTCTCTAAATCATCCCTACTGAGGATCACTGAAAATGTCGTCTGCTAGCAAGTAAACAAAGGGGGATAACTCTTCACAAACTAATGAAAAAGGATTAACAGAGCTGTCTCTCTTGAATGAAACCAAGCACTTGATAGCTGGTCAAGATTGTTTATACTAGAAATCCAATTAAACATATTCCTAAAATTCTCAATAATTTCTGGTCATACTATATATAATGATGATAGCTTGTTAAACAACCTTTTCTGTGATGCATGGCAATTTTTGATAGATGTAAAGGTGTTTGGGTATAGGTTATTCATGAACATCTTGGCTCGTAATATTTATTAACTACCTTTCTAAACTGATATATTTAGCAGTTCATGGGGACACTTTCTAGTCAAACAGACTTTAAACGAGACTTACCTGTAAGTTGAAGTTTGATAATAATTCCACCGACCTATGGAGTACTGAGGGATCACATGAGATGTGCGCATGCGCAATTGCTTCAGTTTTTAAAGTAAAATATGATTTTAACCAATAATCCCAGGGATGGGAAGGGTGGGCATGTGATCCCTCAGTACTCCATAGGTCGGTGGAATTATTATCAAACTTCAACTTACAGGTAAGTCTCGTTTAATTTTATAATTCCACCTCCCTATTCCGTACTTCGGAATCCCATGAGATGTTTAGAGAAAATCATATTTTCAACATAATCCACAACAAAACACAAGATCACTGCTGTCCAAAATTTACTAGGTCAACATGGCACTACTAAAACATATGATCACAACACTGACTGATCAATTGAAAAAGACAAATAAACAACCCATGTTGTCATTATGCAATAAATCAAACAAGGTAATAAGTGTTTCTGTGGTGAGACTTAACCTTAAGGGTTATCATTCTGAGCCATTAACAATAAAGTCTCTCCGAATTGTCCATTGTCAGATATAGGCTTATCATAGAACTGCCTGAACACACATTGGTTACTCCAACCAGCAGTCCTCAAAATAGTGGCGAGTGGCACATTGGCAGCTGCAGCTGCGCTTGTTGAGGCTGATCTCACACTGTGAGGCTTAAACATTGCCAGGTTTATTCCTGCAGCAGCAAGAACACCTCGAATCCATCGGGAAATAGTGTCTTTGCTCACTCGTTTGTGAGGCTTTTGTACTGCAATAAACAAAGCAGTTTCATCTCCTCTGAGGTCTTTAGTCACATGAACATAGTCTTTGAGCAACTTAACAACACATAATCTATTGTCTGAAAATCCAGGGATGGTTATCTCCCCTTGATGGTGTCCAGGTCTTGTTTGCTTTAATAAATCTCCAAATCTAATCCTAATACTATTGTCTACAATATCTACATTTCTACAGTCTATCAAATGGAGGGATTGAACACGTTGTCCTGACAATAATAACAGTAACATAGCCAACTTAGTAGTAAGCTCTTTCAAATCTGAGTCAGATTGTGCTTTAAGATATTGCAAAACAACAGATACATTCCATGTGACGTTATATCTGGGGAAGCTAGGCCTTAAATTGAATATACCCTTCATAAATCGTATGACAAGGTGATGCTGTCCAAATTGCACATTATCTACTTTTACTACAGATGATAACGCAGACCGTGCTGAATTTATAGCAGAATAACTCAGTCCTTTCTGATAAAGAAGCTCCAAAAAACTCAAACCATCATTTAAAGATGGTGAAATGGAATTAATACCCCTTTCACAACAAAATTGCATCCACCTTCGCAGATATGTCCTATACTGTTTCTTGGTGGTACCTTTCCATGAATGCAAGATGATGTCTGCAGCAGAGCCCTGAATTCCTTGACCTTGCAGGACTTCCCGGACAAGCGGAAGGCCGCCAGTTTCAACTTGCCTTGTTGAAGTAGTGGGTGTACTTTCAGTGGTAGATGGCCGAGTGTCAGGAGGTGCTTGGACTTGGGCGGCAATCGAGGACAGTCGACTGACAATTCGACAGTCGAATTGAACCAGCTCTGTGTTGACCATAGGGGTGCTATCATGAGAGCTTCTGCTGCCTCCATCTTGATTTTCTGAACTACTCGTCCAATCACACTGAATGGGCAGAAAGCATAATTATAACAGGTTGCCCATGACAATGTGAAAGCATCTATTGCTTCTGCCCCTGGATCTGGGGACCATGATACATATCTCTCCACCTGATTATTTAGCCTTGATGCAAATAAGTCTCTTTCAGGCATACCAAATACTTTAGCTAATGTCCCAAACACATCAGTATCTAACCTCCATTCAGTATCATCCCTTGTATTCCTAGAAAACCAATCAGCCTCAGAGTTATCAACACCAGGTATGTGTGCTGCACTTAACCAAATGTTCCTCTCCTTACACCATAACCACATCTGCCTCGTAATATCATTACAAGTCTGTTTACATCCACCCATATTATTGGTATAAGCCACTGCTGTGGTATTGTCCAGCATAAGTCTAATATGGGTGTTGCGGAAGGTTTTGCACAGAGATTGGAGTGTAAGCCAGGCGGCATAAATTTCCAAATAATTAATGTGTCTCTCACTTTCCATAGCTGACCACAGCCCACCTGTTTTATCGTTGCCACACACTCCCCCCCAGCCTCTCTTTGAAGCATCAGACTGTACTACAACATCAGGTTGTGGAATGGTAATAGGCTGGGGGCATTTCCCTGTTTGGTCTATCCACCACTGCAGATCTGATTTACATACCTCATCTATCTGCACAATTGCTTCATAATTGCCATTACACCTTGACAAACTCTTGTTTTTAAAATTCTCAATTCTCTTAAAGAAAATAGGTGCATGTTTCATGCCATATCCACTGGCATTGAGCTGCTCCACTAAAGACGCAAGTTCTCGGATTGACACACTTTCCTTATTCAACACATTCTTGCAACTGTTGCCAATTTTCTCCCCTTTCTCTTTTGTTAAGTTTACAGTCATGGTCTGACTGTTTATAACAAAACCAAGGTAGGTAATCACTTTACTTGGTGTGAGCACAGATTTTTCTGGATGAATGGTGAAACCTAATCTGTCAAGTAATCGAACAGTTTGAGTGACATTGTCTGCACAGTGCTTTTTATCTTCCCCAACCAGTATTGAATCATCAATATAAGCACTATTGGAAAAACCCTGCTTCCTCATTGTAGAGAAAACAGGTTTCAAGATTTTTTGTAAATGTTCGAGGGGCTGAAGATAGTCCATTAGGCATACATGTGAATTGGTATAGTTGTTGATTCCAGTAGAACCGCAGGTATTTTTGATCACTAGGCCTGATCGGTATTGAAAAATAAGCATCTTTCAGGTCAATTGATGCAAAGTAGCAATCCTGGCGAACAAGATATAAGGCAGATTTGAAAGTATCCATCTTAAAGTGGTGTGCATCCACGATACCATTAAGTGACTGCAAGTTCAGGATAACCCTCAAGGAATTGTCTTTCTTAACCCTTGTGAAAATGTTGGAGATATATTCCCCACGTTCATGGAAACACTCAACAATGATACCCTTGGCTAACATTTCATTGATCTCACAGTCTACTTGGTGCCATTCCTGTTCATTAAACAAGATAGGTTTGGGTACATAATGTTCAACTGGCAACTCAAGGAAGTCAATACTAACTCCTGCCACACTAGATAAAACCCAGTTATCAGATGTCACACTGTACCAATGATGCACAAACTGCTTAGTTTTGCCTGCAGTGAAATTCTGTGGCACATTAGATAGACTGTGTAATAAGTCTCTCACCTCTGCACTATTGTCACTGTCTAGTGTTTCCGCTATTTTCTGAAGTTGTCCTCCCTGGGACGTCGGTTTAAAAAACCACCATGTTGGTTTCCTCTGCCCCTGGAGCTCTTAACCTTGTTGGGGAAACCCTTTCCTGTCCTGATGGGTTGTGTCTGTTGCCTGTAGGGGTCAAATCTCTGATTTCCCCTATATCTGTGGCGACTAGGTTGCCATGATGTGCCTTGGCCAAGTTTGCACCCAAGCTGACTGGCATCAGAAATGTCTTTGATGCGTTTTCCAAGTTCATCCCCGAACAGATATGTTCCTGAATTCTTCCCTGGCATAGCAAAACACAGTTTTTGTAGGGGCCTTTGAGATCAGGTTTAAACCCTTCGCGTCTCTTGGTATTTAGATCGCCATGAGCCCCTGCAAGGAGTCTTATTGAATCAGTAGCTTTCATGAGTGTGTCTTTAATGTCCACTTCTGATTTTGTGACTATGGCACTCATGAGTGCATCTGTTAATTGGATTAAGGGAATCATGGCTTTCACCATTAACCCCTGGGTCTGTTGGGCCCTCAAGTCTCTAGTCCTCGTAGCCGGTTTGGCCTGTTGCCATATTTCTTCATTGGCCTTTGGGACCCTCAATGCCTCACAATTCTTAGGTCTCTTGTATCTCCCCATCACCTCTTTCAATTTTCCCATGTGCGGGCTCTTAGTCATACCCTCATTCACTGATTTGGCCAGGTCCTCTCTCAACGATTCCGAAGTATCGTCGTCTTCTCCAAAGAACTCATGAAAATCAGCCATAAGAGTTATGATATTGTCGTCCTCGGGGTTTTCTTTGGTTTCGCACAGGTTTGATTGAAGGGAATCAAAACAATCCGACTCAGAATCGTCTCCAACAAGCCCTTCGTCGTCACTGTATACATCACGGGCGCCGCCATGTTGGTTATCCCCGGAAGTTGCATCCGCCCCACTTCGGGAATCTCCGGTGCCATCTCCACTCACCGAAGTTGAAGCCACGATCTGTGAACTTCGGGTCTGCTCGGTACCACCCGAAACCCCTTGCTGAGAAATAACTTTCCCAAAGTTAGAAATAGCCGATCCAATGATTTTCTCCATAGAAGCACACTGAGCTCTTTGACTGGCCATCATGAATTCCATACAGTGTTCCCATGAGAAAGACGGCTGTCTATCAGTCTGATGGTCCACGGCATCTGTGGCTTCAACCCTGTCACTGACCTTCGACCCCTGAGGTTGTCCAGTCCCCGAGGGACTAGAAAGTTGTGCACAGTTTGACATACCTAGATCAGGAGTGGTTGGGTTGATCAAAGTTCCTCTGATATTGTCCACAATCTCAAAAATACTCTGTCGAGAAGTATTTTCCAAGTCAGTGCTTGGTCCCTTGTCTGACCCCAGGGGAGCCGCCATGACAGGGATGACCACGACCAGGGGCCGTCTCGGTCAAAAACCAAAAGAGTCAATTTTCACCACGGACACTGCGTGTCTACCCCAAAAGACTCGAGATTAATCACCACTGGGACTACACTCGTAGTTCCCACAATTCTTCTTCCAAACAAACCTCTTATCTCAAGCGCTGAGAGATAAAATATGAGAGCGACGTAAATTCTTCTGAACTAAAGCAAAAACGCGAGCGTACTGAAGCAATTGCGCATGCGCACATCTCATGGGATTCCGAAGTACGGAATAGGGAGGTGGAATCCTGAATGTCAACCAGACCATACACTGAGGCATATCTGCCTATATTTTATACCTCCGTCATATATAGACAACTCATACACTTCAAGGTACTCACTCAACGAAACATTACGCTTTATTCTAGTTATGTGTGAACATGTACATGAGGACGTAGAATCCTCTGTGTCTCTTGGCAATATTTACTGTAAGTTTTCAAATGCCAACATATTCTTATAAATGCCCTTATCAAATTCTTAAACAACTTAAAATGAATAGTATGATGTATGAGAACCATTAACGGACAATCTCAAGGTTGTAGTTCAGTTGCTGAACTAATGGTGTTCCCAAAAACTCCAACTAATGTCAACAAGACACTGTCTTGACTTGTCAACCATGTAGTTTCAGGATAACTGCTCCCCCGCCGAGTACCTCCAAGTACTTGTTCTGGAGGTTGACAGTGCCCACATTTGTCTCCTGGTGAGAGTGGAACAGCACAGTAGCTGTCTCAGAGAACAGATCGCCCTGGAACAGATGACTGACAGGATATGATCCGAAGTTGATGACCACCAAATAGCCAGGGAAGCCTTCAGCCTTGCGCACAAAGTAGACCATGTCACTGACGAGTCCTGTGGTGGTCTTACCAAACTGGAGGGATTCAGCATCACGTAGTTTAATCAGTTCAGCAACCTTTTCAAACACGGACTTTTTCCTGAAGACAGCTCTTTCAGACTGAAAGATATAGAGAATTTAAATGATAGTTTGTCCATAAACACATAGAAAACACACAAAACCTTGCATCAGTTTAATTTCAGTACACAGTATTACCCATGTCATAACAGTCAGTGCCTAAACACTCAGTAACACACCACACAAACAAGAAGTTTTCTTTTGGAATTAATGGTTAAAACTCCTTAAGTAAAGCATGTAAAAGTATGTGACCGGTTTGTATGTATCATCAGGATCAATTGACCATGGATGGATGTAGCAACATGGCATCCTTATCAACAGATCCTCATTTTCTTGTTAAGAGGTGGAAGTACAACTGACTGTTACTTACAGCTACATTATTCTGTGTGTAATTAGCATTGATTGGCAGATATGGTGATGAGGCTTCGGTGAAGCCGGCATTCTCTCTAGAATTCCACTGCATGGGTGTTCGGTACTTCATACGACCCTGAAACACAAAAATGACATTCATTTCAATACTGCTGTGTTATATAGATAGTATATATATAGAAAGTCAGTGGAAGTAACAACTCCGTGTCATTGAAGTGTTAAACAATTTTGGGAAATATCTGTATGAGTACTCTGAAGGTGTTCTGGGAACAGCTAGTGCAGTGTCGGGGTTTCCTGACAGGGTTCAATCACACAAACACACTGTTGACTCATCAGTGGTTGTGAAATGTTGTCAGGAAAACAGATCCACAGTTTAGCATGCCTAGCAAGCTGAATCATGCTAAATTGATTGAAAATGCACTGCATGCTCCTATACATTAAGCCCCCTACAAGTATTCGTTGCTTGAGACCAATATACAGACCCAGTGTCTATACCAGTCTTGGGTAATGTTAAGAGTGTTCCCCAAAACTTGATGTCTTTCCATGACCTTGTAGTAATAAGACAATGACGAAGTCCCACTTACCAACTCCTCCACATCTGTGCTGACTCCGGATATTTGTGCAGTGGTGAAGGTTCCATCCTTCATGCCAACCTCATCTCCATAGTACATGATGGGTGTCCCTGGCAGCATCAACTGCAACACAGCTGCTGCAATCTCCTTGGCCCCCATTCTCTGGCTCACACGGCTGCTGTCACCATCACTTAGCTGTAAAGATAAACACAAGTTGAAACAATTTGAAGGACAGAAACTTCAGGTGAATGTAATGGCATGTAAGTCACCTAGACCAATCATTGAATAGTTTTCCCGAACTAAAGCTGAAATTTACTTATTTACAAATTAAATATAATTCATGTGTATGTTCCCATCTCACCATCCATCCCAGCCACTTGTTGACAGTATTTTCGTTCAGCTCATCATCCAGCATCTTCTTTACACATTGTGCATCACAGGCGGTGGTAAGCTGTGACACCAGACCAGTTCCCACCACCATGTGAAGGCCAGGTTTGTCAGATGTGCCATAGTATGCCATGGTCTGGTTCTTGGTGCCATCAATTGAGGAATACAGCACCCTGGGGATATATACAGAACACTATTAACAAATGGCAGTGACATGTAAGTCTGTATAGTCTGGGAGACTGGAAGATAATGGCAGAGCAAGACATGTAGAAAACGTGTTGGAGAATAATATCAACACCACTATTAGCAAACAAGCAATGCCATTCCTCTGGCAAGTGACTATTAGCGTCTAAATATTCGGTTACTCAATATTGGTGATACTACACTGGGGTAATGGCCACCAGAAGAGTTCAACCAATCCGATGCTCTGCTTCAGATAAAGTGACATTTTTGAAATTCTAACCTTTGGTTAAGACAGCAACAAAGAAAGACTTGTACATAGATCAACAACATACCTCTCTCTGCCAGGCTTGTCGGAGTAGGCATTGATAACGGCACGGAAAGCCTGGACAACTGGGATGCTGCCCTGGTAATTGACATGGGTCTGAAACAAACACAGCCAGTTTATTGTATTTGTGCTTCCTTGGAGATGATGAACTTATTTTCTGCATTCAAACTATATGTGCGCACACTGGTCACATTCCTTTTAAAGTAACTTCTCATCACTTGAATCTGGTCACTAGTTAAGTTGACAGCTATCACTAGTTCCCTACACAACTCCCCTAAGAATGAAAACTTAAACACCCTTCAGGAGGATATGTGGACCCTTCAGGAGGATCTGTGGACTTGAATTATTATCTGTTTTTGGTTCTGACCTACCGATTCATCATCTGGGTCCGTTGTGTTCAGGTTCTCTACAAGTAGGCTGGCATCTTTCAGGTTGAATCCTGCGATTCCTCTACTGAGCCAGAACTTCAAGACTTCCTGTTAAGTAAAACAAAAAAGTTAACATGAATCCCTTGAAATATTTACAAGCAAAACTCAAGGTGTAAATTCAACAGAACACCTTTTAATACCACAAGGCTGTCAACAGATCACAGTCATTGGTGTTTTCAAAATATCATTTAGTGTTACTCATTTAGGGTCCGCAAGTCCTTTTAAATGTTGCCTTGAAGTTGACGCAAGGCCTGCCTACATGAGAATGTATCACATTTGGACTAGGACAAATACTATCTTGGATTTTCATCCCTAATCTTGAACACTATCTTAGAACACTAATGCACCTGAAAATGTTTCATTCATCTCCTGCAACAATGTAAGAAGAACTCAAAATAATGAGTGAAGTGAGTTGAAGATATTTGACAGAAGAAAACCACTACAGCAGGTCATAGATGTTCACCATAAACTGTAGTACAGAGAACCCATCATATTTATCTCACCATAACACTGTGGTGCACAGAACCCATCATATTTATCTCACCATAACACTGTGGTACAGAGAACCCATCATCTTTATAACACTGTGGTACAGAGAACCCATCATCTTTATCTCACCATAACACTGTGGTACAGAGAACCCATCATCTTTATCTCACCATAACACTGTGGTACAGAGAACCCATCATCTCTATCTCACCATAACACTGTGGTGCAGAGAACCCATCATCTTTATCATAGACTCACATTTATCCTGTATGCATAAGGAGAACAAATCTTTTTAACAGAAACCAAAAGAAAGATAGCCACGGTCTGGAGGAATCAATGTGTATATTGTGATGGCATGTATCACAAAACACTGAAAGATAGCCACGGTCTGGAGGAATCAATGTATATATTGTGTTGGCATGTATCACAAAACAAATCCACAGAAAGTCTCATCCCTGTGTAATATCCTGAAGAAAACATGAAACATGTGACACAACTGACAGAGTAGCAGTGAGCCTGACCTTCATCTCCATCATAACATCGTTGTTCTCCAGGTTGAGGTCCGGGTATTCGGGGCCAGCCTGGCACAAGTAGTACTGGTTGCGGGTGGAGTCCAGCTGCCATGCAGAGCCACCATTCACGTTTTCCTGGAACACAAATGTTAAGACAATCAGACAGGAAAACTCTTTGATCAGAGATGTTAATCCTAACTGAAGCATTGGGCTAGTCAGGGCGTAGAGAGAGTCTTTTCCTATGATAAATGCAGTTAACACACTAGTAGTTTTCTGTCTGACCCCACCAAACAAACAATCAATAAAACAACCAGTCAGAAATCTAAAACCACTGAGGAATAAATCTGTTACCACTCTGTGAACTGAAAGTATGGCTCTCACTGGCCACAAGTTATTAGGAAACTTAGGTAATCCAATACTTTAAGACAGACTTGTGTGTGGGGATTTGACAAAAATACCATAATTGACAAAGAAAATGTTTTGGTCATGACAAGGTTAAGGGTACAAGTTCCTACCCAGTTGTTTGGTGGTCCACCATTCTTGCCATCAGCCCACACGTAGTAGTCACCATACTTGGAACTCTTGCCTTTTCTGGATTCCATGAACCAGGTGCTGTTCTTGCTTGTATGGTTTGGAACAAAGTCCAAGACAATCTTCACACCTAAAGAAAACATAACAAAAGAATCAGACACGTAGGGACAATCACATATAAACATGTCAAGCATAGGCTACATCTAATTTACATGTGTTGGGTAGTGGTTGAGGTTTCCTCAACACTGGTTCCAAATATAGTAAGACTGCTACAAGTACTCAGCCACTCAAAGTATGTATCACATGTATCTAGGAGTAACACAACCACCTTCAAATTCAACACAGATATTCATGTGATATATATAGGCTGATGTGGAAAGTTGAAAAAAAACTGTGACATGAATACCATGTGATAAGAAAAGCTTTCTGTCAAGGTGTTTTCACTATTTAAGACTTCCTGAAGTTGTGTGAACATCTGACAATTTTATTCACCATCTCATACTATATACGATACAGAGTAAATTGATGGTGTACATGAATATGACTAAAGACGTGTAATTACCTGTTTTCTTGAACTTGGCCAACATGGCATCCACCTGTTCTATTGAGCCCAGCACTAGGTCAACATCCTTGTGGTCAATGATTCCATTTCCTGTGTCTTTCTTGTAGATGGATCCAAGTGAAAGGACTTTAGCTCCAAGAACATCCGTAACGTAGGACGACTTGGACTCGATGCCTGCAATTCATGAACAAAGCAACTGATAAGTTGACTGTAAGTTTATTGATAATATGTTGAGGTGAGTGAGCTTGTAGTAATATTCCAGCAATATCAAAGGTGAGGGACACAAGGCTTTGGCGGGACTGGTAAACGATATAACCACTAGGATTAACTAGCTTCACACATTGTACCCATGTGGGGAATCAAACCCAGGTCTTCGTTGTGACGAGCAAACGCTTTAACCACTAAGCTATCCCACCACGTCCATTCTAAAAAGGCCATAAAAATGGCGAATGAGTGAGTTATTACAGTTTTGACAAATACTTCAGCATAATAGCAGGCCTGCTTAATACTGCTTGGATCCTTGCATGTAAGAGGAATGTAGCACCCTCAGATAAATGTAGCGCGAATCCCCAGCACATAGGGTTATTAGGGCTGGGACGGGTCACCCGGGTGGGCTCATGCTCATGTGACTAATAGATTAATATACTTTCATGATTAAAATGTTGTATTGTGTTTGAAGATTTAGACATAATGTACAGTCACTTTTTTAATATATACAAGATAACGAAAAAACTCGAAATTTTAGCCTCCGAGCTGAAGAATATATTGCCATTTCTTGCAAATTTGATGTCAGGAATTATCATAACGGATACCCGGGTAGGGTAGGGTAATAGTGGGTGGGGTACCCGGGTAGAAAATTTGGACCCGTCCCAGCCCTATGGGTTATCATGCAAGAAACTCGCCACCTATGAGTAGCCACTCCAAGTATGTATAGATTCATAGACTGTCTAACTAATCACTCTCCACAGCAGAGAGTCTAGGTAAGCCATATTTAGACTTCCATTGTCATAGCAATAATGGTTATGGTAGCTAGGGCGGGCATACATGTCCTAAAGGTTAATATACTTGATTTAGCCTGAATCTACTGATACATTTTTTTTCAAAACTTACCACCGAGATCTCCCTTTCCATCTTTATCACTGTCCATAAAGCTCTTCGGGTAGACGCTGTAGACGGCCTCTTTGTTATACCACTTCAGGTCGGGGCGGTAAGCGCATCGAGGAGCCAGGACGATGATGATAATGGCTGCCGCCAACATCGCAATCCAGCCGACCCAAAAGAGGACGAACAAGATGATACGGAGTCGTTTCCAAAAAGGATCGTTCACATACTGCATCAGTTCATCTTTCCCTAGGCCAGCGAAAGATTCGTTGGATTCAGAGGGAACTTCAATTTCGACATGGGACTCATCCATGCCTTTACCGCCATTCAGAAATTTGGCTTTCGAGTCATCAAGGTCGACTTCAGCATTTACAGCATCGGCCTCCTTGATCGGTACCTTTTCGTCGTGATTTGTATTCTCGTCCGACATTTTGACAAAGTTTAACTAAAATATACACAACTGTAGCTCTTAGACGGCGTTGAATGAGAACGGCACTTTACCACACCGTGCGTCTCCTCTTCCGAACTAGGTCTGATGAAATAGCACTCAGTCTTGACTAGAGGTCAACATCCGGGTCTTTAGAATGGACCAGTTCATTATTTCATAGGGAGGGCATAGCTTATCAAACCAACTATAACTTTAACAAAACCATGACAAACATTCTGTGGTTTGTGGTTGTTGTTAACATTAATTTTTAATGTGTTGGATACATCAACTATAGTGATCAAATGTTATAACATATGCATCATAAAGGTAATATTGACGCACTGTTTGAACGTCACCCCTCTTTGTAATATGCTCATGTACTGTGATTCGTGTTCCTGCGTGTCGGTATAACCCAACTGGTAGATACCGGTTTGACTTTATGATGCAACAGGTGCACGTGTTAAAAGATGTTTGTTTCGTTGTCGGGGAATGAATTTTTCTGAATGGGGACACTCAGGGGAGCTTTACGCTCATTTATTTTACGGTAAACTACATAAACTATATAGGTGGATTTACAGAACATGTAGGCCTACAGCAATTAGTATACGTATCCACCCCAGCTGTTCATTGAGCGTCAGTTGACTGCTATTAAGGGGGAAGTTTCTTTTACAGCTAACACACGTGGTCATATGATGCAAACAATAAGCGGAAAACACAAAGTCATGTTTAATGAAATATCCGGTCATGAAAAGCAATAAGCACAAGTGCCGTGTCTGTCCTGTTTTTATTTTTGTCTTTCCATGAAGCGGTGACGGTAACAGGACGCGGAGACTCCCTAACAATGTTCACGGATGTTTTCGGATCCTTGACAACCGGACATGGGCTGGTTCAGTCAGTGTGAGGGCTTCGAGATCGCAACCTGCATGACATTGCAGTTTAATATCAGTACACAATAGCTCGACACCTGACAGACATGTTTTGTTTTTTGTTGTTGGGTTCACAGGGGCTTGTAACGCTAAAAACTGCCATCAAGGCATATACTATCACTGACGGGGTCTTAGTACTATATAAAAGGTACTAAGACCCCGTCAGTGATAGTATATGCCTTGATGGCAGTTTTTAGCGTTACAAGCCCCTGTGGTTGGGTTGTTTTTTTGTGTGAGAGAGCTAACACCAAATCCTCTTCATTTGGTAATACACAAGGGTTCTGGGTCAGCTACCGACTTGTCCAGATTTGCCCACGATAAGCACATTCTATATTCCAGGCATCTAGCGAGGCCACAGCTGTCAGACACATATGCACGACCTCCCACATACTTCCACGCCATGAACTGGTCATGTGACCACACTCAACCGGTTTGTTGATTGTTGGAGGTTTGCTCAAAAGTGATGAGCTGAGAGCTTGTATATCTCTCATTTATCCTTTTGGATACTTTAATAAGGAAACACATATCCATATTAGATAGGCATGACATGTATAACTAACTGAATAGAATATGTTTGACATGTTTGAATAGAATAATTACTGCCCCAGCTACAGTGTCTGTAATAGACTAACAACTAGTCTCTGAAATGAACATATTTTACTGAAAAAAAGTTCATAGTAAAAAAAAAATATATAATGAAAAGGAGCCCTGAGACTTTCTTCATTCCAGAAGCTGAGGAAATCTAGACTTGCCACATTTTCTAGACTTGTGTGGGCTTTCTTGGATATATTTGCTTCAGGGTCTGTACGACAGACTATGTCTGTAAATGCTCCAGTCACGAGCAGTTATGCAGACATTTCTGTAATCCGAAGCTCATCGTTTGGTTATGGCCCGGGAAAGCGAAATCTGGACCAAACCTCCTCAGTTTAGGTTTCGCTTTCGCGGGAACCCTTAGCCACGACAGCGCGGTGTCTGCCTAACTATCGGACAATGTTCTAGCATGGTTGTCATACGGACAATGTTTTAACATGTTTGTTATACAGACAATGTTCTAACATGTTTGTCATACAGACAATGTTCTAGCATGGTTGTCATACAGACAATGTTCTAGCATGTTTGTCATACAGACAATGTTCTAACATGTTTGTCATACAGACAATGTTCTAGCATGGTTGTCATACGGACAATGTTCTAACATGTTTGTCATACGGACAATGTTCTAGGATGTTTGTCATACGGACAATGTTCTAGCATGTTTGTCATACAGACAATGTTCTAACATGTTTGTCATACAGACAATGTTCTAGCATGTTTGTCATACAGACAATGTTCTAACATGTTTGTCATACAGACAATGTTCTAACATGTTTGTCATGCAGACAATGTTCTAGCATGTTTGTCATGCAGACAATGTTCTAGACAATGTTCCAACATGTTTGTCATACAGACAATGTTCCAACATGTTTGTCATACAGACAATGTTCTAACATGTTTGTCATACAGACAATGTTCTAACATGTTTGTCATACAGACAATGTTCCAACATGTTTGTCATACAGACAATGTTCTAGCATAGTTGTCATACAGACAATGTTCTAGCATGTTTGTAACATAGTCAATGTAATGATCTAGCATGTTTGTCATATATTTGTTATAGAAAGCAACGACACGCCGAATGCTCTAGCGTGGGCTTAGTGTGCTTGCTACATTCTGATCCGCCTATGTGTCCACTGAAGGTCTTATCGGGTTTAGATTGTGTAACAGCTATACATTACGTAAGCTGTTTACAATATAACCCATTTATAGAAAGAAAACACACAATGCGAAGCAATTAACACAGACCGGTTTGTAAAGTATGAAAAGTACATTTTGTTATAAACATAAATAAAGATGAAAGATTGGAGGTATACAGTTATCATGGTTATACCAAGGAATAGCGTCGGCCGTCTGAATACATTTTTATTCAACTTGGCAATAACTTGAAAACTATTGGTTGGCAAAATCGGGGACCACCGTCTTTGTCTATAGGAGAGACAATATGCAAATTCTGATTATATGTTTAATATTTTAAGAATTCAATAATTTGAACTTAGAAAAGATTGTTCAACCAATAACTGTAACAGTTTAGGCCAAAATGATTTCATATTTGGAATTCAGCTTCTTTGTCTAAAGGAGAGGTGTAATGCAAAGTTTGGTTGAGATTTTCTTATTTTTGAAAGAGTTGAGTAGTTTACATATTTTGAACTTTAAGAAAAACATTTGGGGATCACCCTCCAATTTAAACTGCGTCAATATTGCTTTTATCGGGTCCATAGAAAACAGGCATTAACCTACTAAAAGTCTTGTATAAAGAACACATGTAGTCCTGTGTTCGTCCACCTGTGTATGTCCTATATCATGACAACAACCAAAACAAACTCCAACTGACATTATCTGATAAAGGGCACCTGTTGCTACACGAGAGTTTAATGCTGATTGTTTACCACAGTAAAATAAACACACTACGTACTTTAGTGACAATTAATAAGTCATTTTTAAGAACTACACAGTTCAGTGCTGTAAATATATCATTTTTCATTGTACACTGGACATGACAATGTACTTCCAGCAAGTCGCGAAAAGTTACAATTTCTAGTCAGTGGGAAAACACAAACACGCCATTACTTTGTCGTAGACTAGTCTCCTGTCTGTGTTTCGCACGTGACTCAAAGCCTTGTACAACCAAACACTTGATGCGATGCAACATCACCGCGTGGGGGTTTATGGTTTTGTCCTGAAAGTTTACTAAATGACCATTGAAACTCTCGTGAAAACGGGTAAAAATGAAGTGTGCATGTTATAAAACCTAGTTGCATTTGGTGGACATTGGTTCTTTATATTCTAATCACCATCTACATGGGCGGATGCAGGATTTTTGAAAGGGGAGGGGGTTAGGGGGTTAAAAACCCTGAACCCCCTTGGCTCCGCCAACGCAATTTTTTTTCAATGTGGTCTTAGGTCATTTTCAAGGGGAGGGTGTCGACCCCCCCCCCCACCCCTTGGATCCGCCACTGCCATCTATATGCGCGTCATGTATTATATAGTATATAGTGCAACTAAACGCGTCCGTCCTAATACTTGCAATAATACAAGAGGCAGCTTGCTGGATTTCAGCCATATGAAACCAGACAATCTGTCCTGCTGTCATCATGTCGGTACCGTATACAAGGGACTCAGGGAAACATATCTATGCTGTGGTTGGACTGATTTTCGCTTAAATGTCAGATATATTAGTTCAAATGTCAAGGGACACAGACCTAGTTTGGTTACTGGACGTGGTGAACAAAGCACACGCTATCAGCTATAATCTGACTTTTTACGTGGCTTATCTACTTAAAATCACAGACATGCACTGTCAAAATCACACCATATGATAAACGTGTTTTGTTTCGTTTCAGAAAGTCTAAAAAATAGAAAATACTTCAAACTGTACTACACGGGGGGTGGGGTGGGGGGGGGGGTGTGGGTGCATATCTACATTACCATAACTACAATTTCATTTTGATTTTCAATATTTTCATAAATTAGCCCCCCCCTTCCTCTCTGAAAACCGTTCCTACGCCCCTGTACGTTCAATTGTATCTGTTCTGCTAATATTAATATAGCATATTTGAACTTCAAATGAACGACGTCCAACTGATACGCTTCTTCATCTATTATTATATCCATATTTTAAAGAATAAAACATGTTGCATCCAGTTTTATCATTGTAAATATCACAATAGTCTGAATTGTTATTCTGGAAAATAAAAAAATAAGTAACCTTTTAACAGATATTGTATGAACTATTTTTCGTTACAATTGCAACACCGGCAATTTTCTGAATGCAGCAGTAGCTGTACTGTAAATGTACATGCATTTAATACCATGGGCTACGGCCTGAAAGTTCAACTCTGTCCAGGTTCTAAATACCATGACCTGCTTCATCGTCGTCTTCAGTTGCTTTCATGGGTAAATGTGTTGACACTAACATCAAAGTTTCAACAAGGCCGTCAGATATTACTAAAATAACGTTTACTTGTACATTAATTGTCAGTAGACACAGCTCTTGCCTTCATTAACAGATAATACATACGTGTTGTCGTTTACGTTTGTGCAGGTACGTTTTTGAGTTTATTTAAGAATTGAAATGGAAGCTAATTCAAAGTCCTGCAAT